CATAATGCGATTAAAATTAATAACATACATAATGATACATTGCTCTGTGATACTGGTGGTAGGCTGGTAGCAATGGCATTCACGAAGCTACGTTGGTCTGTAATTCCGGTGACAGATTGTGCATACGTACTCTGTGCCTGTATTTCAACTTAACTTTTATTAAAGTAAGGTCACTGAAATACATAGATTAAACAGACAGAACAGTTTTGAAGAAATAGTTGTATTCTTTTAAAATTGTTTTTATAAAGGTGGCCCAGCTTAACCGCGCGTTGATTTTAAGTACTTCAGTTTTTGTAATCTCTTTCATTGATACATAACTCAAACACAACTGGTCGCGCGCTAGAGAGACCGATACTTGTAACATTATTATTATTTTTTTATTTATTTTTATTTCTTTGTGGAGCAGGTAGCCCATTTCCGGCTAGGGTGACATACTATTGTAGTATGGGGTTTAAACCTGTGCCAAACTGCATGCAGAGAAAATTCCCAGCACGCTTAAACAAAATTTACACTGCACAACATGTTTAAACGCACCAACAGATCGACACTAAAAATATCAGAAGAATTAGAATCCACGAAAAATTTCCACATTAATTTTTATTAAGCTTCCAAGCCAAGGTTGTTTCGCCGACTTGTTTCTTTGCTTTCGCCTTGATTATGGTCCGATTCCCTTTCCGAAGATTGTACGGTTTCACTTCCTCTTTAAATTTTACCATCTCGCTGATGTACTGCGGCACTGGAATTTTTCCGGATGCTTGATTTTGTACAACCACATCGCTTCGTTTTGTCTCATTATCATTATTAAGAATAATAAGGTCATAATCATAATCAAAATGATATTGATAATCATAATCATAATCATAATCATAATCATAATCATAATCATAATCATAATCATAATCATAATCATAATCATAATCATAATCATAATCATAATCATAATCATAATTATAATTATAATTATAATTATAATTATAATTATAATTAGTTCTTAAAGCGGTCAGACTATACCAGTTTGAGTCAGAGGTTTAGCATTCAGAGGCAGAGTTCAGAGCTTGAGTGCCAGCCTCATCAGGCAGAAGGAATGTACGAGTAATACGGCAAAAGGGTCTAATGTCTAACCGACGATTCGACGGGGAAAGGAGCGTAAGAGAGAGTACCTTTTGACTAGGCCAGGCCACGCCGCTGGTGAGCTCTGATAGGGCAGTTTACGGCAACTTGGGTGTGGCCATCCCACATGATCTCAGGAGCGCCACCGGAAATGACGAAAGGCACATGCGGAGCGGTGAACATGGCAGCGTATTCACTTTATATCCTATACTTGTTCCATTATTTCTGCAGCTGCAACCCCTTTTATTACAACTTGAGAATTACGAAAATCTGATTTTCGATCTTGCTACCATGGTATGCTTTCTCCTCGTGATAATTAATTTGGCAACATCACTACGCCTGCGCAAAGTTAAAACTAATTAAATTTTAAACATAGAGAAAATATTCAATCGTCAATGTCATTCGTGATGTTACGACGTGCACTCAGTCTAGCCCAACCAGATGCCGCATTCCTCCTAACAACCGCGAGGCTTGATCGCTTGGCTGAATAAGGCCGTAGGTTCCTCGGTAACTTTACGAACCTTCCGGTCATCGAAAGGGCTATCTCGGCAACGGCCGTTTCAAATGTCCCGAGCGTTCCACTGCCAGATGGTAGCGAGCTAATTATGGACTGTAAGTACTGTACATAAAGGTATGTCTCTACTCTGTCCTTTACTGGTTGAAATACAAAGAGTCTTTAATCTGGATCTCAGTAAAACTGTAAACAAATTTTATGGGTAAAATTTTTGAATTAGTGGAACAGCGCATCTTATTGTTAGTACTTTTCTCTAGCGGCGTTGTAGTATAGCTGTTGTTCAAGGGAACGCAGCGATTGCTTTAAGTGCCTTTTACAATTAGTAATCTATTCAAACCAGCCGAAGCAAGTCCGATAGAGACAATGGGTTGTGCTATTTTTTTATGTTGGAATTTTAACTACTACATCATGTGCCAGAGCTTGCGGGTATTGCTACTTACTTATTACTGTAATTAACTGCAACTCGTCTGTACGTACTACATTCAGTACTGGACTCTTACCGTGTGACCCGGTAAATGGTACCAAATTCATGTACGTACGTGCCCAAAAACTTACTTTCGCGCACTGCCAAAACATTTTTGTTTTCTTTTATGACATTCTGTAGCCAGCCAGATCATTCGAATACATTGGCGTGAAACCGTTTGTACGTAACATCCGATCTGCACGATTTGGTCATTAGAAATTTCTAAGCAGTTTAAAAATGCATTCAAAAAATGTACCAAAACTGTCATCATGGACCGATATCTTTCACATTTTACATCAAACTCATGTATGAAGATCGTTTTTACATTAATGGCAGTTTTTTGATGTTTTAAAAATGAATTTTAAAATTTTTGAAATTCATTTCAAAACTTGAAAAATGTGGTGCAACTCTGGTTCGGTGTAAGAACGATCTTCATATCTGCTTGCATTCATGTGCGAAATTTAAAAAGATCGATCCATGATGAGACACCTGAATGCGTTGAAACTTTCTGAAATTTCCTTACAGCACTGTAAGGCCATAACTGCCGAACCAGATGTTGCGCTCACTAATTGTTTTGACGTCAATGTACAGATCAATATCATGCTATAGAATGTCATAAAACAAAGCGAAAATGTGTTTAGGTGTGCTCGAAAGCCCTTAAACCCACGTAACGGGTAATTTCCCTTAAAGAGATTTTCTGCAGTCCAACACCTATTACTGTACGCCAATTTACAAAGTATATCTGCTCTTTTTAAAATGCGCCATCCAGATGCATGCATATCCCATGTATAGTGCTCGTACTTTACAAATGTACGGTGTGTACGGTATCTTGCTACAATACTTCTTCACTCTACCCTTGAGATTTTTGATAAAATGTACTCTGCTTTCCTTCAGTTTCATCTCGGCATTTTTCTGAGAATTTTTTCTAATTCCTTATGTGCTTTTAACGCTGAGGGTGTTCATAATGCTGTTTATAGCGAGTTATAACATTTTCAGGACCTGAAAGTACAAGTCCATCCGGAAACAAGGGCATAAGTGTAAGCGGGAAAATAAAAAGCATTGGCTTGAGCCATTAGACGAACTACGGCACGTTACGCAAAAATCAAATGATTGATAGGCTTTTATTGAATATACTGCACATTACACTTTGTTTATATAATAAGAGTAAAACAGAAAGTACGTAGTTAAAGCAATAAAATCAAACTGACAGCACAAGTAAAAAATTAAAGAAAATTAAAGAGCAACCCTTTATATTGTAACTGTTTAGCTTTATTGAGCAGTTGTTATTATAACTGGAAACGTATTTGTGGATTATTATAATAATATTTACAAACCTGTGATAACTAAGTTAATAAATAACTGTTTTAATAAATTACTGGTTCGGTGGTGAATTTTCGTAACGGTTAAAGGAGTTGTCTGAGGCCAGTACACCACGGAAAATATATTATAGCGCGTAGTTAATACAAATTAACTGCGCGCGATTGATCGTCCGTCTGTTTCCTGTCGGGCAGTCAGACGAGCGGTGGTATTATTGGGCGGCCGGCGGTCAAGCAAAGCTGACCGCAGCACCTTCAGCGAAGTCCTGTGAGTTGATCAACAGAGCACGCACTACACAGTCAGGCACGCCTGCTCATCAGCCTTTTGTTCTGCCTACCAACCTGAAGGCACAGTGATCTAAACCACGATTGCACGAACAATATGATGTACTTGTACGTAGTAACGTACATGAAGCTTGAGTTAATGCAGTTTGAACAATATGATGAACATGTAGAGTTGATGTTATGTAGCTTGAACCAGTTAATTATATCTAAAAGAAAACACAAAGTGGCTTGACCAGCATATGAATATTACAAAATTTTTTCTCGAGCTTATTACTTATAAGGTAATAAACTTAGAATTTTGAACGAATAAGGGAATTTGAAGACTGGGAGATTTAGACCAACAATGCTTTGATGTTCCAAAACTTCACGCTGTGTTTCGACAACGAATTTTTGCACAATAATGTAGTCGTATATAACAAAAAATTTTATGTGACAATACGTTATTGTACCTTTAGTTCGACATGGCACATCGTGCTTATCGTTAAATTAATCATTGCTTATTGTAAAGCATTTGCAGACCGTGGTGACCACGTTTTAGTTCGGAAAATAGTACCCTTGTTAATTGTTTAGATTTTGAAGTAAATTTGAACTGTCTGCGGTGATCAGTTCAACTTTTCATGTTCATGAAGAGAAACCAGTTGTGCAAAATTAAATTTCTTCTTCACATGCTTTTTGATAAAAAATAAGAATAAACAACTGGAGCGCAGTGAGGTGTTCTTATAAGTGTTGCACTTTATTTCCATGGCTCGGATAACAATATCAAGGTCTATTTACGATTAAACAAAACAACATTTTCAACAGTGTTTCTTTGCGGCAATACAATTGCTGATATGTGTCTGCAAAGGTGCGCATGCTTACTGTTATCGGTATTCGGTACTACTACGCAGTATGACGGGACTTTATACAAAGTAGAGGACTATAGTCAAGTTCTTTTTTTGTCGAATGGAATTTTATTCAGATTGGCGATGCTAATCGTTCACAGGTTTTCTATAAAATTTTACGTCAAGTTCTTGCTTGTATTCTGGTATTAGCACTGACTGGTGAGCTTCAGCTATAGACTTAATATTTAATTAATTGTCCCATTTCGCGTATTTAAAAGAAAAATGCATATTTTTATTAATCAGATCTACATTCTAAGTCATTCTTATACTGGAAATTCTGGAATCGAATCCTACAGTTGGATCCGAATGGGTGTGAGCGGACTGACACCAGTTGGTAGTGTTAAAAGGGTTAAACTAGAATAATTACAAAGACTAGTCTTTTAGTTTGTACACTATTTATTTTACGGCTTGTTTTATTTTTGCACAAGCATCAAGTTACTGTACACAAAGGAAGATACTGTAAGCTGGACTAACCATAAATGAGCCTTAACCGTGTGCGTGCACAACCACCCCACTATTTCCCTGTACAGCGCTTGGGTAAAATTTCAGAAGAGAGTTATACATAGGCACATACAGGAGCGCACGTCTTTTACGCTTGTATTACGTTTTTTTGAGCTATTTCAGCCGTTAGCTGCATACTAAACTGTGAAGAATTTAATGTTCTACAATTCAGTATAAAAACTTGTCTTATATATAAAATATAAGATGAGCAATGCAAAAAGAGTTTTACCAAAAATATCTAAATTCCAACCGCTGAACCACCTTGCAAACACCCTCGTGTGGCAGTTCAGTGCAGCAATGCAGTACAAAACTATTTCGTTTAATGCTTTCTGAAACTATTTTAGAAAGTTTTGCTTGACAGATTCTGCATCTAAATGTAGAGAAAAAAATTCTCTACGTTTTAATTTCTACCTGACAGTCCAATCTTTCCTGAAAAACTTCAAAATAAAAGAAACGCCGATTTCTCCCATAGAGCCCCATGCTTTCTCTCGTCTGAAATATTCTGTGCACAGTGCACTACAAAGCCCGCATGCACGCGGGTATTGCTCATTACGTTCCCGAAAAATCTTTTCTGTACGTAATTGTGTATGGTCCCTAATTATACCGTTAAATGTTAATTACAGTAGGTATACGAATTACGAATAATACGTAATTTGCACAGCGAGTCCGCGACGGAATGTTTTCGCTGACTGCAAAGCAGACAAGAAAACGCCACCTTGGTGTATTTCCCGTAGACGTGTATGGTATTATATGGTATACGTGACAACGCAGTTCTACCAAAATGACACAAAGGAAGCCGAAATCACATCTCATCAGTGAAGACCCCATTGCTAATCGTGCATATACGCGCCCATTAAAATAAGATAAAGATTGCGCCGAACCGAGGCTTTAGCATTATTTTCAAATTTTGAACGAAATTTAAATATTCAGTTTAATCGACCGAAGCGTATCGAAAGCCTTCTATGTTCAGCGATTACGGAAAATGTGGTGTCCGTCCGTCGGTTACCGCCACTAAATGCACAAGTGCGCAGTTGCCTTTGCACGTGCACCGTGGCCGTATCTACTCCAACCTTATGTAACTGGTGGTATCCGTCTGTCGGTCACCGCATAATAGTGAAAGGGCACTATGGCCGTTTATTCTCACGCTACAGATTATTTTCTGTACATATGACTTGTAATGTCTTGGTCATCGGCGGCGGACTCATCGCCACCAAATGCACATATGGACAGTAGTATTTGATACCGTTAGCACATATGCGACGTGATCGTATATACTCGTAACCCATGCACCTGATGGCCGTTAATACTCACGGCTATCACCAGCCGTCATTTGGTATAGATGCCCTTTGGTACCTTTGCTATACATATTTACGAACTGTATGCAATACTATACGTTATCACCATGCAAATATCACAATTTGGGGAAAATGCGGCAGCAGCAGTACCAATGGCCAGAATTACTGTATAGCAACAGCCGTTCCGTAGCCCGTCTACGAGACGGCTCTTGCAAACTGCCGCATTTTTCCAGATTGTTTATTTTGCTAAAATTAGTTTTGCACACTTTAGCCGCTCGATGATAAAGCACTACCTGGTCTGGTACGAAAAAACTCAAACGATGGTCGATGTGCAATGTATTGTTTTCGGCGAAATAAAAGCAAAGCAAAATTGCAATCCAAAAAATTATAAATTGTATTGTACGGTGCTTTGTATTGAACTACTCTATTGTATTGTATTGTAATTATACTGTTGTATTGTAGTTGTAGTTTTTGTGATACTACAAAGGGCGTACCAAAAGCAAGTTTCCTACTTTGTCTCTTCCAGCATAAATGCCTTTATTGTTACCTCTTATAATCCATACGGATATAAACGCCCTTCACCTTCACTAAAAAAAAGATTACCGGCAACAAAATATATCGGTACCGGCACGATACATTTTGGATATATATATATATATATATATATATATATATATATATATATATATATATACATATAATGCCTATATATATATATATATATATATATATATATACATACCTATATATATATATATATATAATGCCTAAATATAAGGGCAAAAGTAAACGCGTTCCACCGTTCCCTGTACTGCTGCCGTCACCCGCCTGGGTGTGACGTTACGGCCATATGGTTAAATCTGGCGCGGTACATAAGCGCCATGTTCAGCCACAACGTAAAACTCCAGCCGGGTGACGGCAGCAGTACAGGGGAACGGTGGAACACGTTTACTTTTGCCCCCTATATAAGTTTATTTACATTGTTTATTTACATATAAGTTTATTTACATTGTTTCTATTAAGTTTAGGTCATGCAATACCCACCAAAAGTGAGTGCACTTTACTAGTTATGTATAGCTGCTACGCTTTGGTCATGCAGTGTCAGCCAGAAGTGAGCGCACTTTCCGAGTTAACTAGTTTTAATTCAAAGAAATTTTTTATTTTAAAATTCATTGTAAACTTTGAAAATAAGCTAGAGCCGCCGTCCGGGCATAAACGATCTTCATACAGTACATACCACATACCAATGTGCGCATACGATTAATATGCAAAACTTGAAGTCTTGATGACCGGTACATAAAGAGATTTTTGATAAGCCTGAACGCGCTATCTATAGAATCATCCATAAATCCCTTAACCGGATGCAGCGCGCACAAACAGTGTTCACACCAATGCTTACAAATCGTTTGGCTACAAAATGTAATAAAAACAATGCGAAAAAATGTTTAGGAGTGGAAGTTTTTGTGCAAGTGCCCAAATTAGGCACCATATATCGGCTCCCTTAATTTCCTTAGTAAACGGGAGAAGGGATTTTGGTTTGTTCTGTCAATGTTAACATTTTTAATACGGCTAAAACCTTTAAATACCGGTAAACATTTTGCTTTATCTAAATGTTGCCCGTATACGTCAGCTCGTTTCCGACCTTTGAGACAGCCCACAGCAGCATTTTTGCCATTTTAGGCAGGTACACGTCAGCAGCCACCTATTCTGTGTTTATGGTTGCCAAAAGAGTATGCGTCATCAGGGTTGCACTGGTGCTGTCAGTTGAAGCGCATTAAATTTTGCTTTCGAATTGTCCATTGTGGTTCGCACACCTCGTTATCATGCCCAGCGGAATGAACCAACCTAACAGCGTAGACGTTTTGGGCGATGACGGAATGTTCCGGTACGGGCGCGTGGTAGATGTGGCAGACCACGGACTATACATCGATCTGTTGTGCCCCACCCGACGGCGCGAATATTTTCCATTCGACCGGATTTTCTTGCCTCGCAAGACGAACGAAGCTGACCTGGCTCGCCAATACTCTAAGGAATTTTCCACCGTTTCCGTCAACGTTCTGGTCCCGGAAACGCCGGTGGGTCCCTGGATATGGCTGCCTCATCCAGCGGTGGTTGTTGGGGGCGGTAGAGCGCAACGGCATTGCGGAGGAGTCGTGGTCCGGGGGCATCGTCACGACAGCGGAGTGGAGTGTACGGAGTTCGTCCCCATGGAACGCATCCGCTGGCCTGATCACGCTGCACTTCCGCAGGCAGCGGCTGCTGTGGATAAGGAACTAACATGGCACGATCACGTGCATCCCGGGACCTTCGTCGAGGCTAATGTGCAGCTGTATGATGAAGTTCGCTCGGTACCCAGTGAAGAAGTGGAGTCGTTCATCCAGTGGTGGAATCGCTACGGAGTGGATCGTTATTACTCAACGGTTTCCGTGGTGAACTACGTGGAAGGCCGTTTGAGATATATCTACCAGCCGCGAGCTTGCCAGTATGTTTACACTGGTTCCGGACACCGGGGATTTTTGGTTAGAATACAAATGAGTTTTGTTTGATGTTGAATTAACTTAGTTACAGAGTAGTGAACTGTACTGTATTTCAGAAGGCGATCGCCACTTTCCAGGAGGAGCTGGACAGTATGCCAAAGTGTCCTGACGAGGTCTTGCCAGTGCCTGACAAGATGGCGCTTCCGGTGAAAGTGTTCCAGGAAGTGTTCTCACACTTGGAAACGATCACCCAAATGGAATTGCGCGCTGTATGTGCCGCTTGGGACGCGATGCTGGATACGGCGATTTTGCGTTCCTGCATGATGGTCTTGGAATACACTTTTTTCAAGTGGCGATTTGATACTTTCTTACCCATGGCAACGCTGCACCAACGTTTGCAGCCGGGCACGCAGCACGTTATCATTAAGCATTGCGGCTTAAGGGACAATCCGACGCGGAACGCCGCCATCGCTGCCCTGATGCTGATGTGTGACATGATCCGTTATGTGGCTATGCAGCAGCACCGCACCGGAATAAGGTTGCGTAGTCTGCACGTATCCCAGTTCAATTTTGACCTGCAGATCAACTCCGCTATCCAGCAGCCTCGCCAGACCGATTGTGTTCAGCATCCGACTGGTCTATCGACAGTCACTATCGTCGGGACTAAAGATTTCTATCGGCTGCCGGATGTCGTTGCCGTATGCAGCAGTTTGCCCTGTAATACACTCCTCATGACCCACTGCCAGATCCACTTGATCTGCTCGTACGGTTTTCTCCAACAGGCAAGGATACTCAATGTTTCGATAAAAATTCCTACAGCACGTCTGCCAATGGGTGATGAATTCGGTTGCGCATTGTGGGACGTACTGGACGCGGCCCTGCCGGCACCGAGTGACCAGCAGCTGCAGGAACTCGTGGGCAGGTTAAACGGCAATACGGACGCCCACCAAGAACTCAAGCGAGTCGTTTGCCAGGTACATATCAAACTCTTTGTCCAAACTCCAGGTATCAAACTACTATAGCTACTTCTATACGTTTAGTCAACGTTCGGTCGGAGCTACCAGACCCTACTAATATAACGTAAAAGCCCATCCGGAAATCAGAGCACAAATGCACCGGCAAAAAAATAGGCTGCTTACTGAAATGCAGAATAGGTAATTGCCGCAGTTTAGTAATGCGATCTATTGCGCGCAGCCCAAACATGCGCACCAAGCTGCACAACGTGAATACAAAGGGTGTTTCACAAATAATTTTCCCTAAATTGCCCGTCTGTCATTTGAAGTAATGCACAAGTGATATGTTTTGTTGCACAGGCCATTATATAAGCTATCGATAAAAGCAAAAATTAGCAGTGGCTGGACCTGATAGTGGTGCAATCACATCGAGCGGCTGTTGATATTTTATCAATTCTTACCCGGCTACCGGGAATGTTCTTCTTAACTTTGTAAAGCCTAAAGCTCGCTAACCTAAGCCCAATAGACTGAAGGCTGTATTCGTATTTGCAGTTGCTATGTGCGCTGCAGTCGGTTGATCCGCGCCTCTCGGCGCATTACCGTGGCAAGAAATGGTGTGTGGATGGCCTGGAAGGTTTGCAGTTGGGCAGATTGTCACGTATTACTCGGCACTTCCTCGTTGAACTGCACTATGACACGACGCGGAAGCCAAGCGCCCGTGTTTAGAAAATTTACTCGTAGCGGTCGTTAGTGCTAATCCATTTTTCACTGCACTACCTAACACAGGTGAACTGAAATCTTATCAATTCGTCGCATTTTGTTGTTGCTAGCTTTCTTTTTATTTCTTTTTTTCTTCGAGAATCTCGATGTGGTTTGCGCAATCGGTTACGTGCCGAGTCGGTGTCAGTTACACTATTAGCAATAATTCTGTTTTGTTGACATACAATGTACGACAAAAAGAGGATGAACCGATCAGTCGGTCCGCGGTTCAAAATAACCTCGAAACGACACGCCACCCTAAAAACTTGGACGCTTACTCACTACTTTCAGACGCTCGCGCTCCGTGAATATCAAAGTGCAGCTATACTAGTTGCATATCAAAAGGTGTAGAAAAAAATTCTAAACTTTTTGATACTAAACCTGTGGCTGTTTATGGCGAACAGCACGAATTCTAGCCATTTTGCTTTCTCGTAGGCACAGCATAGGATCTGTGCGCATAACCGTTTGGCTTGCAATCAATGCTTAAGTCTATGGGAAAGCAAAATGGCTAGAATTTGTGCTGTTCGCCAGCCACAGGTTTAGTATCAGAAAGTTTAAAATTTACTACACCTTTGATATGCAACTAATATCTGCACTGATATTCACGTTCTGAACAATGAAAGCGTCAAGTTTTGGCATCGTCGTTATTTTGAACCGCGACCGACTGATCATTCAACTCTTTGTCGTACATTATACATTATGCATTTTTCACAAGATATGTTTAAAGTTAAACGTTGATGAAAATAATGAGTTCATGGCCAATCATGGGTTAGGTGAGATTTCTTTACTGTACAGGTATATTACGTTCACTTATTCAGCATGAACTGACAACGTCGATTAAAGAGTATCTTCTGATAAGAGACCAAACAGCTACTGTAGTCGTTTTAAGCTCTAACAGAGAATGTTTTACATCACTTTTTCCAGGCGCCGTTGTCCTAATGGCTAGCCGCCTATGACAAGGAAACTGAGCGTGATGTCTCTTGCGTGCACACTTTGTCCGAGGATGGTGCTTCTGTGCTTCCGCTGCCGTGATGGGGCGGAATTGTGGAGGGAGTGGGCCAGGTCACTGCGCAGTCGACTCTTTTTCCCTTTACTGCACAGTATAGTAAATACTGGCTCAAGGGGTTCAACTGATTGACCATGACAGACTCTAGTGGATTCGGTCCGGCTGGGAACGGGACCAAATACCCAGCGCTCTGTCTGGGATCGTTAGAATGCCGATTACAAACAATCTGCAAAGCGCCAAGCTGAGTAATTTACTTTAACTGCACCTCACTAGACGTATCTGTGTCATAAATGAAAATTAGGGGCTGAAGCCAGTTGGATATGTGTGTATCAGTGTATGCGTTGCCTTCACGGCTGCACCCATTACAGCATGTTATCGAAGTAACGCACAATAATAATATTCGGATTGTTATGCACAGTCTCCATTTATTTCCAGCATAAACTCGCCCTCTGAATTTTCGGAAGGGCTTATACTAGAATAATGCTGCTGAGCCCAAAGGAACGGCGAATTTTGTTTGAGCATTTCCTTAGTTAAACCATTCGTCAACGTTCTTACCAAATGCAGCACTTGACAAAAGCAGAATTCCCGTCCACGTTTCTTTATTTCATTGCTCAAATGCTGATACTGTAGTTCATCCAGCTGTGGACAGCCTGTCTCGATCACTGTCCACCACTGCTCGACTTTCATACGCCGATCGCATCCCAGTCGACAAAAAGGAATCCGGACTGTGATGTTCAACCACCCATCCATATTTGAACACTGGAATTCACAAATGAAATTCGTTACAGTGATCTCCAGGCAACTCGTGGCCAGCGAGTCAAAGATCTTGTAAAGCACCGTAATGAAATCCTCATCCAGATTAAGAGGATAAAAGCACCGAAAATCTTTTAAAATGAACTTTGCGGGAAGGTGTTCAGTCCCTCCTTTAATAACTTTTCCCAAAAAAATCTCATCAAAAAAAGGCCAGTCCTTTAGCGCCACTAGTTGTTGGGAATTTTTGCAGACTGCATGGACAATAACGGCCACTATGCGCTGTGCACCGGCATCAGTGACATCAAAACTGCCCATGGAATACGAGCGGACGTCAGAGGTGGCTCGAAAAAAGCCACGATTGGACGCCACATGAATTTTGAGCCGGCGGCGGACTCTGCTGGCCATCGATGTGAACATCTCGTTCCATGCCAAACACACCGCCCGCACCCGGCACTGACTGGCGGTAAACAAACACTCGAATATTTCCGCCAGGATAATGTCTGGAAGGCATCGTAACGGGCAATCTTCGTTGTCGGCCGGCACAAAAGGTAAAGTGCTAAGCATATACGCTATTACACGGGTTCCGTGCTGCTCACGTTCCCGGGCCATTGTATTTGTGCTAATGGGAGCGCTTTCTTCAGCTTCACCCAACGACAGGAGCACGGAATTACGCTGTAAAATACAATGAATCAACCAATTAAGAACCTAGCGAAGTATCTGTAGGTAAGAATCAGAAGAACTGCATGCAGTTATTCATACCAAACGAAACGATGCTTATGCTGTATATTAATGTACTACATAACTCCTTAATTACATAATGCTGCATATTTTCCATGAAATCAGTTTGAATTGCTTCTTCCAGTCCTTGGCTGAAGGACACCCTTTGAACCGGGCGTCTGATGCAGTCCAGGGGAACGACGTGCATCCTTCCATCCGACAAGCGGACGCAGCCGAGTTTTTGCCGTTGGCGGTGGATGTCATGGCCAGCTATAGTGGCCGGTTGCCACTTCCATGGCTCATTACTGCTTTCCCGGAGTAACACTTCCACCGTCTCGTTGATCCCTGCAACTCCATGCAAGAAAAACAAATTTTCTAGCTAATTTAAGCTAAAATCACTAAAATTTGCCGTCTACAGAATGTAGCAATTTTGCAACAGTCTGTTCCTGTACCGTGTACTTGCTGGAAAGTGGTACGGCGCCTATTTTGTGTTCAACTGATCATGCTTATCACACTTATAGCACACAAGTCAAAAAAGTTTCCACTGCTTCAGGAAAAAGAAAATTTTCGTAAAACGATGTTTATAATATTATCCTACTGTGGTAACGAAACGGCTTACTTCGCACGACATTAAACCGGCGAAGGCAGTCCGGTAATATGAACGTATTCGACTGCGACAGGTAAACTTCAGTGAAGGGAACAATCTCCTCCCGTCTGCCTGGGCATCCTAGATCGACAATCAATCCGCTTTCATATGTCGCAACGGCTATTCCACAGTGGAACAGTTTGTCATGCCCGCAAACTTCTACCACCAACGAATGTGCGGTCATCCTTTACTCAATACCAGCTTGCTGTCACCCAATGTTCTCTCGCAGAAATCCTCCAGAAAATAACCTGGAGACCGCTTTTGTCAAATAATGGATGAAAAAAGATGACAGTAGATGAAAGCAGCGTCAACTGCCTCAATATTAGTAAAGGCAATAAGCAGGTTGCGGTATCAACGAAGGGTACGATTGACGATAGAATTAACGACGGAGTACAATTAACGGACGTTTAAACGGCAATACCCGTCGTTATTAACGAAACGAAGGGTATCGTTTCGTTAATAACGACGTTGAAATCAGTAATGAACGACCGGGCCCATACACCACTGAGCACGAAGACTGCGCAGGCGAGACAATCTGCAGTGAATTTCTGCCTGGGCATTCAATCCTGAGTTGTCTACTCGACTCGAATTTTCGAAAATCGTACCAGTTTCGACGTTTGCACTGCTGTCATTTATTTTTTTGCCAGTTACATTGAAAAGAAAATAATTTGCTTTTCATAAATGTAAAATCATTGCAAAAACTAATACTTTACTGTTGCAGCAATGTGCTATAGCAACTCTGTAGCCGATGCTGTGCATATTCACCATCTTTCAAGTGCAACAGCGAGTCACGCATTCCAGAATGGAATGACAGTTCTATTACTTCTGTATAACGTCTGTGCGGAAAACTCGAATCGCATTTCCTTCTAACGTGTTTGTACCACATAAAAAATCTGCATTTTGTTATTTTGCGCTGGTAAACGAAATTGTTTTGACATTGGTACAAAATATTGAGCGGAGACCGTCTGATACAATCATGGTTCCTCACGTTAATGTGAGACGGTAAACTGCTTGGTTTATAACGCAACCTCTTATTCAATCAACGGCACATTAAATTAACAACGTTAAATCATCGTTGCCGTTAATCGCAGGGCCGTGCAAAACGCAACCTACTTAATGACTGGTACAAAGCGTTAAACGGATGAATTCGATTAACCAGAGTGCACAACCATTCAGCATTGATAACTAATCAAAATAACACCGACGCTTGCAATCATTGTTATCTAGGTGGCTATTGCCCATTAAAGATATCAAAATAACATACCAACGCCACGGCGTAATCTTTACGATAAAAGGGCGCTACTCCTGTTGACTGCTGATCGTTATTCATAAAGTTCGAGTAGAGCGCAGCGACTTGGATATCGAATAACACCCGTAGTGTTCCCATTAACAACAGCTACGGTAGACCACAACACTGCAGTGGATTGCTCATCTTCCATTTAACTGACGCACTCCATGTCCTATGAAAGGTATCCGGTCGGACCAACACTGCGTTTCAGCTACAATCGGATAATTCGCAGTATCCGCTTTCCACAGACTGCTTCCGACATGCGTTTGCAGCTCTCGGTCACGCTGGGCCATCCTTCCAGATTTTTTGCTCCTTCCGTTGGTTGACACTGGAGCTTTCAATCGCAGGAGCCTCGAGTGACATTCCGCAGCACTACCTCTCTTCCTTAACAATCAAGTAGCAGCTTCATCATTCCTCCCGTCACAACTGTAAATGGGCAGTGTAGCCGGCAAAATCATAACGTAATTCGATTAGGTGCTTGTTAATGCTTAATATTAATGCGAAAAGTTTTTTACCCTTTTAAATACTGTGTACAGTACGCCGGCCAAGGCACCATCGGAATCTCCTACCACAGTACATAAGCAAATAATATTTTTTAAATGTTATCATTACGAGGACATTTGGGTGCTGTGAACATACCCTGCACGATTAGGCTGCGATGAACAGCTGGTTAGCCGTAGCTCGCAACGCTACTAATATCACAGTCTGGATGCAAACGGCTATAAATTTAGCCGGCTGTTCATCGCAGCCTAATCGTGCAGGGTATGTTCACAGCACCCAAATGTCCTCGTATGCTTTATTTTTCTTTAATTCAGGATATTCACAGTACGATGTCATAGTGCGCAAAACTAAGTGCAAGGTATACATACATAGCTGCAACAGCAAAATATATCAGAAATATATATATTTTATAAGTGTAATTAATGATTATGGTGTAGGTATCTACTTTTCCCGCTCCAATTATTTGCTTCTCTTGCTTCTGGCTACCTGATTCTGACAAAATCGGATCTTACAATTTGATCTTACTGTACTTCCGGTTGCAGAAACCATATAATGTTTGCAAATTATAGACAAGTGCGCCCACCATTGCCCTGCCCCGTTATCTACGCGGGGCATCGAATTATAGTAATTATGTATTTTGTCATCTGTATGTATACTGTAGAAGTCGGATTAGAACCCACACAGCGGCAGTGCTAAACGTATTCCCGTATACTAACAATTATCACTAAATGTGCACAAAAGATAGTATTGCTTTAATTAGTCAGCCCTCTCTCATAATCTCATTAAACCAGCAGTCAAAATTTGTGTGGAAACCTTCGATACTTGGGTGGCAAACAAACTGAAAACGGACACGATTTTGATAACATAAAAATCAGTTTTACTATGTACTGTTTTCAACTTTATTTAATTAAATATGGTGCAATATTTGCGCGATACTGAGGTGCAGAAAAACCCCCAGGACCGTCCGCACTAGCGGCGGCTCCATTAATGTCAAAGGAAGCGCTGGCGGTCTTGGGGATTTCTCTGTCTCTTAATATCTGTACGAGCGAGAAGAGAATAAATTAAGATTAAATACATGTTTTCCAGTTAAATTTTTATGTATCGGTTGTTCTTGAATTTTTCTTGATATACATGATAGTTTGACAAATTTGAATGTTTTTGAAACTTTAGATGGAGAATATTAAGGCGCAGAATATTGTGGTGAAAGCTTGTTGTGACGCTTTGAAACCAACACCACAAGCACGGTATGCGTTGAACCGACTACGAATTATCCAAGATCTGGCTGCCGACACACCTGAAAGGTACAGCGATTTTTTAACGGTCTAAACGAAACTGATAAAATATTATATAACAAGCGGTAGCACATGTCATTTGAGACAACTGCTACTGTGTACAGTATATCTACGAGTATACAGTAGAAATATCGTACAGCACCTACAAGGGTAATTAAAAAAGGGCTGCATTGCGCTATACTTATCTTACCTAGCTAGGTATCCTATACGAGTACTGTATGTACAATACACGTATATACGAGGGGAATGTGTGAATATCTGTCACAGTCTTAATCGTCAACCAGCCGTATACCGGTGATTTAATACAGCGACAATGTCATGATAAAATTATCTGTGCGGACGTGATTTGTATGTACTTTAGCACACAGTGACGCGTAATATGCTATACGTATTACGTTATATTTGCCGGTTACTTTCTCAGAGTGTTTCAGGAAAAATGACCCAGAACAGTTTTAATCACGATGGTCCATCTAAACGCGCCCTTCCGGCTGAACCGGGTTATGCAGTTTACGCAGAACATGGTCATCCTTTAGGTTTCGCTTAATTTTTGGGTACGTAAAAGCTTTTTTCTCCGTTCCGCTAACCGCGACGGGTTCTGACTACTATCACGTATTTTAGATGAACTGACCAGGCATTTGCAGTTTCGATGTTATGATGGAACCGTTTATGCCATGGCAGCGCTCCTTCACCGTATATTGCCAACTGTTATACCTTATTGGTGGCGCGGTATTGTTATTCTCATGGTCACCGTAACGACCGGCGCAACGGAAACCGCCTTTCAGGAAATCTTCCGTGATGACTTTGACGGGCAAACTTTAAACTTGACACATTGGAATCCCGCCCACACCAAGTCCTACGTTAACAACGAACTGCAGTATTACCGACCGGACAACGTCCGCCTAGTTAACGGGACGCTGGGGCTCGTCAGTCGGCGGGAAGAATACCGAGACTGTGCGTACACCTCGGGGAGAGTGGATACCCGCGGGAAGTTCAGTTTCCGGCACGGCGAGATCGAGTGGCGGGCCCGGGTCCCCGCTGGCCGCGGCATGTGGCCGGCGCTGTGGCTGGCACACCCGCAGTGTGTCGCCGCGCGCCCCTGCGGTGAGTATTGGCCGCCGGCCATCAGCGTCATTGACGTCCGCGGCCAGGAACCCAACGTCATCGTCAGCACGGTTTTCTACAACACCGGCGGCCAGGACCGGTCGCCCGTGAAGACCGAGAAGCAGGTGGACATGAAGCAGGACATGTCGGCGGATTTCCACGTGTACAAGCTGATTTGGACCGCGGAGGCGTTGCTGTGGTTCGTGGACGGGGTGCTGGTCCTCTCCGAAACGGGCGCCGAAAAGGTTCCGACGGTGGCGCTGCAGGTGGTCATGAATGTGGCTGTCGGAGGGTATTTCTCCGGGAGTCCTGATAACAGTACAGAATTCCCTACGGAGTTTCTCATCGACTACGTGGTGGTTCGCCAGGGCGACATCGATGTGTCACCGTGGGTTAACATTACGACGATCCCTAACGAGGCTGCTTCGGGACCACCGGTGGTGACCATCGTCCTTGGCGGTCTAGTAGAATTGCTTGTTGTCGTCGTTATCGGCGTCCTTATTATCTGCGTGTGTTGGAAACAGCGCCAACGACTGCGGCGTGGTGACATGCGCAAGGGCCCGGATTCCCTGCGGCTCACTGCAAAATCTTCTACTCTGGCGTGCCACATTAGAGCAGGTTACGAGCAGGTGGACCCGGCCATCCAACACTATGTCAAACTGCTGGAGATTCCCATAACCAACGTCGAAATTGGTAGGACCGAATCAATGGAATAAAACGGATTTCTTATGAAAAAAGCTGTTGCAGTGTGATGTGGTATGTACTTAGCTATTTTGGTATTATACGTTTTCTTCTAAACGGCCTCGCAAAAAAAAACCTCATACACATACATGTTTCCGCAACGGTCCATAGGAAGATACTTTTCTACAAAATTATTAAGGACACCCGGTAACAACAATTTGAGTCTTGACTTGCTGTGGCGTATCTAGTGGGTAATATCTTTTATTACCAATTTTTTTCATAGTTCTTATAGATAGTACAATTTTACATAGTACATAGTACAATTTTAAATAGTACATTATATAATTTTTACATAGTATTTACATAGTACGACTAAAAAATAACTAATAAGACAATTAATAAAACTGCATAAAGATTATTATTTTGCGCTGGGTATGTATTGTACAGTACACTGCTGTACGTACTCGTACATTCACCACATTTGGCAGCTTGACTTGGTTCGATCGATAACTGTTGTCAGTCTTTCCCCCAAGACATAAGTAAAAATACCTCGGCACAGTAAATGGGTGCTTGGATAAAAACGTTTTGAAGTTCAACTACTGAATTTCCGTAATGTGCTGTTGTTCAAATACTTCAAGCCCGAGTTCAAGGAGCTTCGTGTACGGTACGTCGGTACTTATATAAATACGTAGACATCCTACCGCATACAGATAAAGCGCGTTTCTGGCGCAAAAATCACCGGCGCTTGTTTCCGGCGTTTCTTCACTGATGCTCCTTCGGCAACTACTGAACAATGTACTCTGTATACTCTGTATTCTTACATTAATAAAATTAAATGTACCGATATCACTGCGGTCACTCAGAGTCAAAAATACGTAGTATTGCAAGTATGATTACAACATCGCATAATCACTGCGGTTCCATACAGTCGCATATACCCGTGATATAAGATTGGTCTGTTGGCAGGAGCTGTTCTGGGAAAAGGGGAGCATGGCATTGTGCGCCTCGAGGCGTGGCCACGGGACTGCGTGGTCAACCACTGCCCACCCTGGTGGCCATTAAAACGGTGCGGAATCCCAACAACCCGGAGCAGGACCGGCAGATTATTCAAGAGTTGAAGATTATGACGAAGGCTGGTCGCAATCTTAATATCACCAACCTTCTCGGCGCTGTCTTTAAAGGTAGAATCCCAAAAAAGCTAACAGAAAAGGCTATCGTTCTGCTGTATGACGTGGTCATATATTGATGTTACCAGAGTAGATTGCTTCGCCATGAAATTTACCTATCTTCGATACTTGCAGGCGAGACGTTTCTGCTGTTGGAATATTCGGAGCATGGATCATTGCTAAAGTACCTCCAGCGTCACCGCGAAACCGTACTCCATAACCACACCGATCCTAATCCTCTGCTGGTTAACAACAAAGCAGGAACCGTCTGCCAGCAGCAGCTGACGAACATGGGAACCTCAGCGTCGATCGAGAGCGAGGGCATGGACGGGAGGGCGTTGTCGACCGGCGACCTTATTAGTTTCACCTTCCAAATCAGCCGCGGCATGGTTTTCCTCAGCAGTCGCTCCATCATCCATCGCGATCTGGCAGCCCGCAATATCCTGGTCTGTCAGGGCGGGGTGGTCAAGATCGCCGATTTTGGTATGGCCCGGCAGCTCTCGGAGTATGTCCTCCTCAACGAGCGCGTAAGAACTGCCCGCACACGTTTGTCACAACAGCACTAGAAAGAGGGACTAAAGTACCTAAGAAAATCTACGAAAACTTGAGAAACGTAAAGTTATGAAGGCTCGAAGACTAGGAAATCTATGACAACAACTGCAGGTGGCACTGCCGGTGCGCTGGATGGTGCCCGAATCCATCTGGCAGCGGACGTTCTCGCACAAGTCGGACGTGTGGTCCTTCGGCGTCCTGACCTGGGAGATCTACAGTCTGGGCGAGACGCCCCATACCAGCGCTGCCCTGAACGCCGGGAATGCTACCGACTTTCACCGCGCTGCTGGCCGGTCACTACATGGAGCGGCCGCCAGTCTGTCCGAGCGCAGTGTAGGTTACATTTGGCATCTCATTGCAACCGGTTGCCGGTAGCACTACTATCTACTCTGTGTATTGTGCCCTTAACAGGTATGACATCATGCTGCATTGTTGGCGTTTGCGGCCAGTAGAGCGACCGGCCTTCAGCCAGCTAGAGCAGGAACTGACTCACCTCGTAGGCCGGAACTCCGCCCAGAATTATCTCTTGCTGGACAAGCCTTACGAACAGTTTAATGTGACACACCAGGATCTCCTGGCCGACGTTGTGGATGAATCAAGCTATGTGTTTATTGGGTCAGGCGGTAATCCTTTCGGCTAGATTCACTGCTATACAGTCAAGCGGAAGTGACGTGGCATTGAAATCTGTCATTCACTTGCTCTGCCCGTGTATTTTGTACGAGTATCCTATACTCGTAGTCTTGCCACACTCATCTAAATGTTACCTACTGTGCTACAGCGATCGAACGCCAAACCAAACGCAACCCTGAATGATAAAATTGTTACGCGGTGTCTTGTACTTCTATCGGTTTCCGCAACTACTCGTACCATACAATTCATTATTAATTTGGCCACATCTGTAATAATTGTTCCCGAATTCTTGCATAATAAATTAATATTTGTTCTACACATTTTATGTTAACATTACCATTAATTTTATAAAAAGGTTTGTGGAAAAGGTTCGGGGAAAAATAAAGGTCTTATTTAACAGACCGGCTTTGTTTGCAACTTTGCATTAATTTTATTACATGCATGATGCATCCATTAAAACTGAACTTCGCACACATGGCATAATAAAAGTACATGTTGATTATTTCATTTTTTGCATTACCGAAATGAAGCCAAAATTTTGTTGTGTCTCATGCTGTAATGCGCGCACTTCAGTCCATTTTTGGACAACATAATTGAGTCACTTATTTGCAAGCAAGGACGCTGCAATTCACAGTACTAAGAATATTCTGGCTTTTATGACAGTTTATTACGCGGCAATGCATTTTATCAGCGGGGAATTATTTTAGTGACCTTTGGCATTTTTAGCTTACAACGCATGACCTTTCCGGACCGATACGGCGTACGAAACAGCAGAGCTACAACCTCTAAAAACTGGATATTTGACTAGGAGAGTAAAATTGCAAGCAGCTACTACGCGGCACATGAATAAAAGCTTTGGAACGTTTGTCTATCAAACAGAAATAAAATATACTACACTAAATCTAATAGCAGTTAACGGCGCTACGGATAAAAATGAAAATACTCCATAAATCCCGTCGGCGAGTCGATCTGGTCGAAGTTCCGTTTCTGTCCGCCCTTCCCGGGATTCTTCACGCTGCGCTTGACGAAATGCCCGAATCCCGGTGAATCGATCATGTCCAGATTGCGCTTCTCGAAGCGCTCAAAGCCCGGGGTGTCCAGCATGTCGAAGTTGCGCTTGTCTAGGCCCAGACGCTGCTCGGTGGCCGGCACAAGGGTGGGGTAGTTGTAGGAGGTCATCCACCAGGGCTTCTCGTACAGGATGTAGTGCAGGCCATCGTGCTGGCGACCCAGTCCGTAGACGGCGCCGCTGGCGCCGGCGGACTTTCGACGGGCCCCCGGGGCGGTGGGGTTACGCTGGGCGCGGTAGGTGATGTTCAGCGGGATGTTGTTGAAGAGGGTGCGTTTGTCCACACCGGTTTCCGCTGACAGGAGCTCCATCTGAAGTGAATTTCAAACGATTATGAGTTTGACCGGAAAATGCTCAGTGTTTGGATTACAACGCACGGAAAATTGTAGTGTATCTAAATCGTAACAATAAATGATGAAGATGTCTGGGATTTGGCGGCGATCACTTTCACTTTTCCAGGTTGACCGATAGAGAGCTAAACTTGTTGTTATCGTGAACGGTATAACAACCGGCATGCATGACGGCAAATCTTAATAACATCAATCTTCTTAATATTAATATCTTAATAATATTATTAATATTTTAATCCTTTAAAATATTTGTCCGTCCGTTTGGTGGTACGACTAATACTTAGTAATACTAAAATTTAATATTACTAAATTTAGTATTTAGTAATCCTTTATTCCTTTATACTAAAAGAATAAGAAGTGCTCAAAATTCAACTGCGGGAGTCAGTCCCAGCCACACAAGACCAAACTTCGATATCTTGGTATCATTCGATAGCTCTTATCGTGTAGTAGAGCCATCAAAAGTCAGATCTGAGAAAAACAGTTCCAGTTTCATAAAAATTGAAAAACGTAACATGCCGAGTCTACGGGAGAAGTGAAGAATCCACCATTGCAGAACCGACCACCTTACCATTGTCTCAAATAAACAACCAAAAACCTCTTTGCTGCCAAGCAGCCACGGGCTTCCAGAACGTTTCACTGGAACGAAACTTGAAAGTTTATAAATTATAGGGTAGCCTTGCGTTTCTATTTTCTGATCGATACTCAGACTCCGAAAGAAAGGAGAGCTCGATGAAAAAGCAACGAAGAGTCGAAGCGTATCGCGCAGTTTCAACCATGATCATTAAGACAACTGCCCTCCGCAGACGTCTGACCAGTTTTAAAGTAGCAGTGCGCCCAAGGGCAGCAGCTGGTGACTGGTGAGCAATGGACGTACGCATTTTTTGGCAGAGTTTGCCGGCTCGAAAGCAGTAAGAAAGGATTTTCTACAATTTCTGTTTTGTAAAATCTGTGACAACCAGCAGAAGGCGAAGCAGCCAGGGAGAAAATTTTGAAAAAAACCTTAAAAATCAGCAGCAAAAAAATTATCTACAGAACGATAAGAAGCCGATTTAAACCGCGCAATTTGCACGGGGTCTGTCATTCGATACACATCTTACATATCAAAGTCAGTAGCCGAGCCAGCAAAAGTCTGATTTGAGAAGAGTAGGCAACGGTGGCTCCAGATGTCACGGATCATTAGGTTTTTCCTTTGCGTCATAAATTTTCAGAAAATCTGATTTTTTTCCCAACGTGTGGAATACTAAGAACCGAAGACAAAGCCGCAGGCGACGCCGAGCTGCGGCGCGAGCGGAGCATCAAGTGAAACATTAGTCGTGGCAATTTTTTTCCACGGATTGCATTCCGCTTTCCCACCACTTCCCATACTGATACTTTCGGATTTAAAGGGCACGGATGGAAAACTTATTTTTACGGGTGGGATATGCAGAAACCAGAAACGTCAAATGAGCAACATGTGCTCCATAGTTCTGAGTCATAGTGCTGTTTCCGGTATCCGACCATGGGAATTTACGATTGCTTTAAGTTTGTGAAGTTGGCAACAAAAAATTATTCGCACAAACAATACAACGGATGATACGAAAAGTTAACCGAGATCTTTTTCACAAAAAAAAAATAAATAATAATCATGACATCCTTCTGATTTTAAATTGTTCCTATTCCGTAGCCTATATGTTGCGCGCAATTTGCGCGGGGTCTACTAGTTTACTTACTAATGGTATAACTGGCATTCCCGTTGTTGTTGTTACTCATATATTCTCGTGGGTTATTCAATAATTACTAATAGTTTGGTAATTACAATGCGAACAAAGTACAAAACAATAGTTACGAGGATAAGATTGATTGTACTCGTATAATTATCATTTGCATAGTTTGACTGCACCAACGGAATAAAGAATACGTCTGTAGAGATTGCGTAGAGCAGTGGCCAAATATGTGCTGGCCTGGCAAAACCGGTACAGGCTTTTCGCGTAAACGTTTTCAACGTACATTAGACTTCCTTAAAGTTAATTATATTCTTTTTTCGTTAAGAAATATAAATAAGATACGCTGCACTATTTATTAATATCTAAATGTATTAAATTAACAAACGTGCGAGTGACACTACGATACTTCATGATTAATAAAAATAAAAACTTTGTTACACTAAAACATCGAAAAAAATCTATCAGCTCGTGTATTAACACTTAATGCAAAATGTAATTTGAAACTATGCTGGAAAATTTGCTCAGTATACCGAAGTAGTATTACCAGCTGAAATGTATGCACTCAATTAGCACGACTGATATTAATTCGGCTTAATACAGTTATTTCACAATCATACCGGTATGTTTTTTGCAATAGTTGCACGTGCCCAGTTTTGGGCGCAGAGGTCTCAGTTTTTTGGCGCTCTTATACTTTCTTCCGACAGCTTTCTTTGCTTCTAATTCTCTATTAACAATTGTGTTCCATCCCGAAAATTTCCGCCAGCGATAGTGCTGTTTTTGCCGAGTGCTTTAATTCAGCTAATTAATTTGGGTACTATCCACGAATCTCACCGCTACTACTCTATATAAAACTAAAATTTGCTTATTTATTTATATTATAGAAACAGCATGTGATGCTTAGGTTTACTTTTATTCTTTTAAATTCATTCGATCCCGGCGCGCCCAACCCAGATCTGCATCTGCTGTATGTCTAGAGCAGCCTTAGCACATCCGGAAATATCCGATTGCGCAATTGTGGTATCACACTCGCTGCTTGTACTGTATAGATATACGAGTGCAAGAATGACCATTGTGTAACATGGATCTTACCGGTTTCTGTTTGTCGGCTGATAGCGGCTCGTTAATCTGTCCCAGAACGGCCGTGCAGAAGAGGAAGCCGTACACGACGATGGTCGGCACTGGTCCCGTGCTCCACTCCATCTTCCCGCGGTACTGCTGCCGGTGGGATGGGAATTTCCGGCGCGCTTCTGATTATGCTTATCGCTGGCGATCACTGAAATTAAATACAAAATTATTACTTATGTATCTTGTTTAACTTAAGTATCTTAAAAATCCGGTTCAGTAAGCAGCATACAGAAATTTCACGGTAATTACTGTTACCCAACTGTCGATGGTTAGTTACTGACTACTGTTATTTCGCCAACTGCGCAATTACACAATTTTGTGCACCTTACATTATGATGCAGCATTAACATATGAGCCGCTTAGAAATCGTGCAAGGCAGTTATCAGCGTATTCAAAGCGTCTATTACATCCCAAATTTCTGAATTTTTTGCAGGTGTTAATGATTTAACAAGGGGGATGATTATAAATAACAAACGTATTAAATAAGCATATGTACACAAATTGATAAGAAGGGTTTTCATCTAAAGATAACATCAAAATTCGACCAAGGTTAATTGTCAATAAACCGTATTAAATATGTGTATATGTACATAAATTAATATTAAGGTTTTTATATAAAGGGCAAATTAAAATGCGACCAGATTAACTGTCAATAAACCGCAAGAAACCGACGGACACTACCTAGCCGGAATCAATAACCCAGTATTTTCTTCTTCGTCACCTCTTTACAAAATTAAACTCTTCGGCAAGTGTATTTGTCTGCGTGTGCCCAAACCCGTGGCAACTACGCACACTGAACGTGTCTAATCCGGCATTTGCCGGGAAAAAAACAAACACAATTGCCATGTTGTGATGACCTCCTTCTTATACAACGCGCCATCAATGGGCGCCGGGAGTGAATGCATGATGATGATGATGGGAATGGCGTGTATACAAGAGGGACGAAAGAGGACTTTCATCACCGCACCGGAACCCATCTGCGCCCCGGCAAACGGCCATAGAAATGGCCATCCAGCCGCGGCCGGCAATTTAATCAACTTTCCCTAACCGGGCTTCCTTATCGCGGGCGACCAAAGACATTTATCACACACCGCAATCTGCTGTGTGCATGGGCCACATACGGGATAATTGGCCGGGTTGCGCTGTGATGAGTAATACGCAACGCCCCACCCGACCAATTAAGCGAAATATACAAGCGGTGTGAGCGGCTACGGGAAATCATGTCAATGTGGCCGGCGGCGCGGGAAAATTAACAGACGATGTGATATAAATCAATCCCGGTGTGCTTTAGTAATCAAATCGATATGGTCTTCAAGGTTGGGTCTGTCAGATTAATTTTACTTGTCTTGCTAAAGGTCTCCCGGAACTCCTTCGATTATGTGTAATGTTTGGATTTAGTTTTTGATCATTGTTATTTGGTAGTTATATGTTGATCAAATTTTCTTTCAAAAGTGTTTAATATCATTAGGGAAAAGTACAGTCACTTATTTCGTTAGGGATTTGCAATTGAAATCGATCAAGGATGGCATGTATCCGGTATAATACAGCGGTAACATGCCACTTAAGTAAAACCCTTAATTAGATACGAGTTTATTACTCGTACTGTAGTTATTACTGATTCAGGTAATTTATTTTGTTAAGCGACAGAAAAACTGAAATCGATCAAGACCAGTATTTAGCCGGTATAATAAATATAGATTAGTAAAGCAGAACACCTCACTTTACCAGAGATTAGCATCAACGTTTTCGATGCAGAAAATCGGCATAAATAATTACATAAATTAAAACGTATGACATAATAATTTATGAACGCAACTGATGATCAGATAATAATAACGCGTGATTAACACATAGGGACACTTATGCTATTTTATTATTCTTAATTTTAAGTACAAAATTTTTAATAAATTTCTTCTCCGGTTTATATTTAACCCTTATTAAAAATATAAAATAAACCTGCGCGGATATTCCATTTACCTAAATAACGTACTCGTTATTTCTTTGAAAATAAAATTATTGCGAACAGATAACGAAAAAACATCGTTAAATTCCGATTATTTTAGACAGAGCGCTTCTGTGAGTGACGCAAGTGTCGTGTGTCCATTAAACGGCAGGAGTACGTAAGGATGAGTGAGGATAATGTCATTAGAAAGCGGCTTTTATCCCGCTAATATTCCCTGTGATTCGGCCCTGGAAGCGCTAAGTTAATTTGACGCATGTTAAAGTTAACGCGAAATGAGCGCGTAAATTGAGTGGCTGGATGAGTGGGACAATTAAAGTGTCACACAGCATAAACGGCCCGCGGCTGTCACCGGCGAGCACGTTTCCCCGAACGGCTCATGCCGTTTCCTGCCTGCGTCAGCATTCGAAGCACCTGACCTTTACACAGCACAAATTTATAAACCACCAAACTTTTTTTCCAATAATAAGTTCTGGATTTGGGTGAACAACAGTAAACACCCGCGAGAGCTTTCGTAAATTCCCGGAACAAATGCAAGCAAGTTATAAGCAACTTAATAATTATCGCAGAGCAAGCAATATACAGAGTACCGGTACATAGCGAAAAAAACTAAAAAAACCTATCAAAAAACTCTAAAATTTTAGGAGTGTTTACATTATTATCATTTCTTTACAATATCGCGAACATCCAAAGTAGGATTTCAGTAAAAACTTTCGGTTTTTTATGTTGCTAAATGGTTGTAATAAAGGGCTGTTAAAAAATAAAAATTTTATTGTAAAATTTTTTAACAAAATTAATATCAAGTTTTCTAATAAGTCCGGTAATTACTTTTAAAGAATGTACAGCTTTGTTGTTATTTTTATTTTATTTGTGTTGAAATCGTTAATAATAAATCGAATCTACTTTAATCGCTGCGAAAATAACGCTTAAGAACTTTACGGCTTCGCTTTAATTTTTAAAATGATTTTTTAAACAAAAAATGCAACAATTAATAATACAGGAAACGTTACATACCAATTTGGACTAAGGAAGCGACGAATTAAGCGAGACAGTGTCAGGTCAGCACGAAGAAAGTCAGCGTCGAACAACATACACTCCCAAAAAAAGCGGTGTCTTAAGTCGGCAGTCAAACAGATTAACCGATCAAACTTGAAAGTGTATCCAAAGAAAACCGGGCTAACACCGCACAAGACACCAATCTTATATATTCTATCCAGAAGATCTTCACTCCAGCGTAACGTGACGTCAGCGCGTATTTAAACTCCGCCCCGTCTCTCCCGCGCTTCTTATCAACAATATTAGCACTCGAAGAATGAGTGCGCATAAAAGCCGAACAAACAGTGCGCACAATTGCCGGCGCGCTGGTCGATCGTGTTTGTACAGTGGGGAAAGGTCACGAGGGAGCTATTCCACACCGCGGTATATTGTAATCCGAGTTATGAATGTTGATGCAGCCGGTCAAGGGGAAATGAGGAGGGGATTAGCATAAACAAGTGTAGCAGACGGAAGTCGGTTTCCACTGTGTACATGTGGTTGACAATGGGCAGCCGGGCAATTATGAATGAGGGAAAATGAAGTTGGCTGTTTTTCCTCACGCAGCAGCTGCCGCTGTGTCGGCAGTTTTTCATATTGTGCTGAGCGCAGCAGCGGGGCTATATTAAGCGTGTCTTGAGTGGCACGTGGCGAAATTGGCAGCGGCTCTCACGGATATCTCCAGGTAGATTAAGCGGCGAAAGGTCAGGATCGATCGCGGCGCGCGTCGCGGTAATTTAACAGACTTCTAACAGTGCAAATCATGAATTTATTTTATTATGCAAAATTCACGATGGAAGATTGACTATAATTTAACAAATTCTTTAATCGATTATCCTCTCTTCGCGTCACAGACGGTTTAAAAATAGTTGGTAGCACTGACTGTCGATTGGAAAATCGTAGGTAGTTATTACAGGACCGACAGCAGTTATTCCCAAAGTAATTAGATTTGTTTGCCGAGTTAATAAATGCACGGGTGCTACAGTACGCCCAATCAATTTTTTCCAACTTTTTTAGGAAGGTAAGACGAAACAAAATACTCGTATGAATACGGCATGCCTCGCTAACGGAATATGGTAGCAAAAAAGAATGTGTTGGACCAGCAGTAAACAGTGGATCAATACAGACAGATAAACGCAAGCAGTGGTATAGTGGTAATCGTGTTGTATCGGAGGGCCACAGGCGCATAATAAATATCCGGACACTTGATGCTAATAATTTAACGTGATTTATTCTTTAACTGATTAATATAATTTCATTTAATTAATGGGACGTATAATTTACGGGATAAAAAAATTATGCTTCAAGAAAAATAATTTACATGTACAAAGCGAGCTTCGCTCAATAGAAACAATCAAATGGAGAATGTTTATAACTTTCTAATTAAATAAATATGTATTTGCTAAATTAAATTAAATATTCATTAAATAATTAAATTTAAAAACAGTAACGCAGCATAACAACATTGCGCGCAGTCATTTTACTATGTTATCTCTAGTGTGCAATAATTAATTACTATACTATGTAGTAACGGGAAGACCTTGGTTAAAGTTCTGTCGGACACCGACTGTACCGCGGCACTGCATGCGATCGGATCTGAAAATTTTATCGTCTGTCAATATCTTTCCTCAAATCCATCGTGCAAAATAAAGTTGTTCTGAGGCCAAGCGTAAATGTTACTGGGTATGTGAAAATTACAGTACGCTTAAAATGCCCGGTGCTGTTTTTATAGTTAGATGGGATAGTTCGCGCTTTCTTCTGTCATCGTCACCGTGTTCGAAACCAATTTCCCATTTTTGATGCTTCATCTAGGTACACACATTCCCTTTTGCATTTTCCAGTAAGCATGGCGGGTCGCGATGGCATAGGTTTACTGATTTATTCTACGTTGCTAATACTATCAATGCCGGCCTACTGCACCGTTCGAACCAGCAACCAAATAACTACCTCCAACACCTCACGGCCGCTAATTCCCGGTAAAGCCGATTAGCACAATTTGGTATATATAGTAATCCAGTTCGTCACAAATTACCGCTTACGTATACACTGCAACCAAGTCGTACAAAACATACGCAGGTTGCGCACCAAGCGGTTGTTTGATTGAAACCCGGTTTATCGTGTGACCCTAGTGGTGTTGCTGATCTCGCCGTAATCCATATGGAAAACATAACCGTTTTCTGTATTAATGGTAGAGCCCCGCCTGACAACTAACTTGTGTTCCGATGACAACGCCGACTCGTCTGACAGTGCGTCCAGGATCGTGGATAGCTTGCAGCGGATGACCGGTGCCCGATTCTATCTGCAGCCGGCTGACATTCCGCCCGATCAACAGGCAGTTTTATTTCTCGGGCATATTGGTTATGCCCTGCAGCTATCCCCGTTTATCGGTCTACACAGTCTCGTCGTACACACCAATAGCCTCTCCGTCAGCCAATTGGAAGAAGTTCTTACGTACGCCTGGACGCCCAGTATTGGTACGTACCGTACTTTCACGTCTCAACATCTGCGAAGCCTGCACATTGCAATATTATGCAAAAGAATGTAAACTACAAATTGTACGTATAGATGTGCTACTTGCACCGATTTCTTATGTAAAAATTAAGAAAAAAACATTCACTCGGTACGATGGCCTAAATACGCATACCAGAACGTATACCCATAATGATCATAATGTTTAACGAATGTATGTAGTGTACGAATGCCCATGATATGTACCTACCTACTACTAGCTTGTCCGGTAATTTCTGACGAATCAGTACAGCGACTTACACAAATTTGCGTGTTACGCCAAACTTCACACTACGGCGCGCCACGCCACACTGTTTAAACACGTAACTTGCATTTGACTGGCTGGTGGCTTGTTACTATACCCCATGAGAATAACAGTAATTGCCTGGCGTAAGGTGGCCAGAAAATGGTCAGTGCAGTAAGCGACAATCTAACTGCGGAGCGCATTTAGAGATTTTGAAAAACGTAGTGAAGTGGCCATCGTTATAAGCGCAAACTTCGCGCTAGCTGTACCTTTACGTAGGAAATTACCGGACAAGCTTGTACATTGTACCTCGTATAATCAGACCTGTCCTCAATTCAGGCAGTGTACTCAAAGTGATCCGTTATTGAGGCATATCGAAGTATACCTGATACGGCTGATAGCAGCGCCATTTCCGTAATCAGTACCACGCCCGGTACTAGTATTACTACCAACACCCAACGATTATCGCTTGAGATTCAGCGCGGAAATGCCGCATCTGTTTTGGGTACCATGGATTGTTTGGATAGTTTAAATGAAGTTTTGCTGCTGTGAATAGTACTGCGTGTTTCTTTTCCTTACCAGAATTGTGCGTTGTTTATTAATAAAAAGTAACACCCGTATCATTAACTAGGATCACATCTTGAAAGGTCACTATAAATTGTTTTATTGCAGAAGCCTATATGCGCAGTCCCAACGCCACTGTCGATGATGCGCCGAATGTGCGTTTCCTATCGTTTCTTAATTCCAGCGAGACGCTCACCATCACCGGGTAACTGACCACATTCCTTTCGACCCTTCTCAATCAAAACACTTGCCGTCTACCCTTTAATGCCAAATGGCTTCGCGCATAAAAAAAATTTGTTGCATAGCCTGACCTTGCGCTGTACAGGTCGCCCGTTACCGCATTATCTATACCATCTTTCGCTCAGCGCATATTCGCCCACCAGGACCTGTGCCAATATGGGAGAGCAAGAATAACGCTAATTGTAAGCATCCGCAGCAGCGCATTGGGCCTCCCAGTTTGGAGATGTTCATTCAAATATTGGAAGAGAAGGGAGTGCGTGTATACGATCAAATGATCATACCGGCTCAGATAGCCATGATCGCCGATTCTCTACCTTTGGAGGATTCCAGCCTGACCGCAGCCAAGAATAGTTGTCGATTCCTGCCTAGTAACCAAAGGGATGCGTGTGCCTTGAATAAGACGGTGGATGTGCGTGTGGGCGGCCTGACGAATTACACCTTGGTATCCACACTGAACGGAACCTACACACAGTAAAGTGGCAAAGTCCTTATTTCCGCTTTTAACCTTTACAAATGAACATTACCTTTTTCAAATCGAGAAACATGGTAATTCATTACAGTTGTTTCCTATAAGAATGATCTAGAAAAAAACCCACGGTTAATTCGATCCGGCTCCTTGTCATTTTAGGCAGCAGTGACCTACGTCAGTTGTCTGACGTTAGTAGAGACAAGGTGTGGATTGGGTGGTTGCCGAATTCGAATGCATCGGCACCCAGTGCCGACCGTCCCACACTGACGAACCTATATCCTATTGCTGCGCAGCGGTCTTTCCGTGTATACGTCACAGCCCGTGCACCTCCAGCTTCTTCCTCTTATTCAGCAAAAATTTACTAAAAGCTTCCATTATCAATATGGTATGCAGTCACAAATTTAGCGGTACAATTATATTCAAACCTGGTCCCGGATAATGTTTCATTTCCCGTTACTCTAAGTAGTTCAAATAAAGCGCCCACATGTGAGCGTCAGTGCTTACAAAATTGATAATTATTATACAATTCGTTGCCGCTAACAGTAACGACTGTGTGTATCGTGCTCGTAATGCAACGCTGAGAAGTTTAATACAATGGCAGCCCGAGAAGAAATAAGCTGAGCACGTACTAATGGGTCTTTCTGATTGTAAGATGACAGCAAGAGTGTGGATGTGATGCTGTGGAACCCGGATCTGGATACCGGGACAATGATCAGTTTCCTGGTACGTCTCCTGATAAACGGCAAGGTCGTTGCTGTCCTGGACGCACGCCTGCCGTATACCGATGCAATCTACCCGCGACTGTTGCGAGCGTTCGGGTCTGACGCTTACAAACCCGAATATCCCTTCAGCCGTCAACTATACATCCGTCGACACCCGATTGTTCTCAGTCCATCGCTGGAACGAGAATGTCATGGGAAGAACGATGATGTGGAAGTGTGTCGCTGGAAGGACACATTTAGCGTGACAACGCTATCATTATCCAGTGAACTGCCGGTATTTAGGTTTTACTAATTCTATCCAACGCTGTTGGTTTATATCTTAATTATGAAAATCCTTATTTTACTTTCCTAATCCTTTAAAGTTTATTCAATAAATTGATGATACCTTGGTGTCAACTATTAACAGTCATCCGAAGCGGTTCAGCAAGCAATGTCATCGGCTTTTTTTCAAGCTAATCCACACTCAATTGCACCGGCGTCCTTTGCCATCACACTGACCAATAATCAGGAACAAAATCTTACACTTCCGGGGTACGTCGAAGTCTTTAATTCTGATTTTCAAAATTAGGCTCCCTATTTTGCAGGCATAATATTGTGCGCTATACGTTCTCGTTTTCCTATTACAATCTGACGCGCGGAAAATTTTGGAATGTCTGGAGATTTCCTAGCAATGAAACAATCGCGCAGACGATAGCATCTCAACTTCCGGGGAAGATGTACGTTGCCAATTTTCCTGTGTGTCGTGTGAGACTGTAAAAAGTGCGATTGCCAAACAGCGGATTCATTTGATGCAGTTGGGTGTTCGATCCGTCGATGACATTCACTATGTACAGCAGCGAACCCATTAGCTCGCAGCTGCTACCGACACTGCAAGAAACCATGCAAAGGGCCGCTCGAGGCGTATGAGAACGCAGGTACGATCTTGTTAGGCTTGCCTTTCTCATATTGTTTCACAGTGACTGTCCATTTCTAACCGTCCACAGAGTAACTCCTTGTATAAGTTTATATCATCAAACGATTTTTTGATGAGCAGTTAGTTTTCTGCGGCTCACCGATATTTCGTCGACTAACACTCCGTCGACCGCACTAAGACGACGGTCACGAAGGCGACGACTAAAAAAACCAAGAAATCCTAAGAAAACTAAGAAATTTATTAGAAACCTAAGGAATATAAGACAACCTGAGAAAATTAAGACGGTTTAGCAAAACCTTACCTCGAGGTCGTGACCGGTGTACATCGTTTCTGTTCGACCTAAGTGACGATCGGCGAATTTTCGTCGTCTTCATGGCGGTTCCCCGTTTTCTGCTCTGGATATTATTTTATTTCATAATACAGTTTATCTGTTATTGACAGAGATAGTCATCTGGAATCCTGATTCCAATGGAACCGTCATCAACTTTCTCGTCATCGATTCTGAAGTACTGCCGAGTGGAATTGTGGATTCACAGCGGGAAAGCAGCGATTGGATCTATCGACAAGTCTCCGGGTTGCAGCTGGACAGGAACACGATGAAAGTTGATACGATATTTGATACAAGATTCATTTATCTGGATAGCGACGACACCGATAATCCGATGGCAGCAGTATTCAATGACGGCGCCAGGGAACCCATCATACCAAACAGTGACAAAGCCGGCAATCCCATTACACTGAGTCGGCATCCGCCGGCAACGTTGGACCATAAACAGAATGATACTGTTAATGACAAACAGAATGTGCCGCCTCACGATAAATGCAGTCAGGAGGATGCTGACGAGAGCTGTGCCTTGCCGTCTGTCCTTTCCTTGTTTGTGATGAAATCATCTTTTCCTTACACCATGGTACGATACAAACAGTATATCGTATTTTAAAATTTTTTTATTTAGCGCTCACCACTGTTCCCCGCCCTGTTATAAAGTCCACATCAGGACGTGTTTTGAGAAGATTCATTTCGAAACGGATCATCCCGATAATATAAAGAAATACAAAAAAAATGAAAACGACCATGCATCCCGCTCATAATCTTTCGCTCGGTTCAATCGTCTGCTGTCCTCTTTCTCGGTGCACTACCGACTGCATATAGCTCCACAAGTAAAAGCGTTTTATGCAAACATTTACCGAGCGTGGAATTAAACTCTAAAACAGCTGCGGCAAAATAAAGATCAAAATAGCCACTAGCCACTAAAAAATTGTGGTTCGTATTGGCGGGCTAAAGTCGTAAACGGAGTGAAAGGTAGTGCCGAGAAAGCGTGTCTGCGGAATCTAAGCTCGTTGTAAAAAACCACACCGCAGAGTCGTTGTGAAGATTGCTAAACTATTATATACATACTGGTCCGGTTTTACATCTGCCAATTGGGGATAGCTTACAGATCTTATATCCTGCTGAAGTACTAGTAATAATATATGACGGTTTGGTATTCTGATGGCAGGATTCCGATGACGTTCTGCGCGGTGTGGGTGATGCGTTCGCGGAAGTTAATCCAGTCTCCGTTGAATTGAATATCACACTGACGCGCCGCACCGATGGATTTTGACTATTTACGGGTACACTAAGTCAGTCAGTTAACGAGTACGGTTTTTTATAGAAGTTTACGAAACAATGTTACAATCTGCAGGGAACCTGTAGTGAAATTTGATTTCACTGTTACGTATCCACGCATCGAGACCGGCAAGCACGGGACTGCGTGGCGGAATCCGCAGGATCACATTATGAATAAGCACTTGGGGAGCAGTATGTCTGGCAAGATTGTTAATTCGCCATTTTACTAATTTAACGATGTTGCGTTCTATGTTAGCACATGCGGGGTTGTCGTACCGATAACGTAATTGTGGTTTCAAGTTACTTTGACGGCACAAATACCGTTGCTGTTATTGCGTTTTCTTATTTGGTGTGACTACTCAAATGAAAAGATCATGTTCAATAATCGCAAACTCTCTGATGTCGCAATGATGCCGTTATTGGTTTTCTGAAAATTTTTTACGCAAAGTGCGAGTATAAACTGATGTCGAAGTTTAAAGTCGTATTCATCATGGCCATAAGGTGCCTTGAATTCTTTTGACCTTGTTGCAAAATTCTACAAAAGCGCAACGTTTTTATTTAGGTCCTTACATGCTAAATGTAGCCGAGCACACAAAATTATACGAGTCGTTACAGTGCCGGCAATGCCGTGGTTTAACGTTTATCGAACACGAGTACAGTACAATTGTACAGACTGTACCGTGAACTATACATGTAGCATATGATCAGATTCAGATTGTCATAAGATCTAATCGCTTGAAAATATCTTTTCTAATACTCATCGTGAGAACACTTTTTTCTTTGGCAAAGGAACCGGGCCAAAGCGTAAATGCCTGCCAAGTGAGTAGCGGGAAATTTTCTATTGTCAGTTGTCATTCCACAAACTTTCGATGCTTTTGATTAGCTGATATTCTTGTTGCAGTCTGCACTGAGGAATCAGCAGACAGCCGGCACCGGGTTGCGAATGATGTTTTCACTTTTTGCATACATAATTTATCATCTTTAACCACTTCTGCTTTTCACAAACATGGCCGATCGCCGTGGTCGGGAGCACTGGCTTGCTTTTATTACTAACAGTGCAAACCTACTGCGCCATACGAACCAGCAACCAAATGACGAGCTCAACAGCGCAGCTGCACGGCCGCGGATATCCGGTAAAAGTCGATACGCGTAAATTATTACAAAATTTCTTTCCGTCATATAAATTGATAAAATGTCGATCATAATAAACTTAGGCTTCGATGTTACGAATAATAATAATAATGGAAGTTTATTGTCCTTTGCACGGAGCATTAGCCCCCTCTAGGCTACAGACAACAGTCGTGAAACGACATTGAATACAACAATGAAGATCGCAAAAACAAAACACAAAGCATTCTTCAGCAAAACACAAAAACATCAACCAAACGACTGATCAGATGCAGTAACATTAAAGAGACATAGAGATGGAAATAAACATTATTTTTCAGTTTGCGATAAGTTGACGCTATATTACTGTGGAAAAAAAGGAGGAAGACGATCATACAGGGTCGATGCATAAAACCAAAACCCACGTACAGCTAAATTAATTCAAATTTTCAAAAGTATTCTAAAAGAAATCGTGGGAAAAAAGGAAAGCAAGGACACTTACGCACGTAATCGCCTTTCTGTACTGTACTATTTCAACTAGTCGCAGCCGTTTATGCGTGTACCAGTACACTCAATAAAGTACCCATTACCTACAAGGATAGCAAAGAAAAAAAGCGCAGATAAGCATTTATTTAGAGTAAAGATTGGCTTTTAAGATTTCCAACCGACGGCAGCACATTCAATTTCACGGTTTCCAGGGGCTTCCGAAAAGGCTTTTAATGTGACATAGGCTACTGGCTGCAAAGGCTCGTTCAGATGGAGGCGAGGGTGTTTATATAGGACAGGTGGTCAGTAGTCACTGTTATCCCACAAAAGGTCGTCGCGGCAGGTTTTATAGGACATGGATGTTTCATTAGACGCTCGGATGATCTTGTGTTTCCTGCAACAGACTCAAACGCAGAGACCGAAAACGTAAGAGGAGTTACGATTTGATCACCCATAGGAATCACCCGAAAGACCAATTTATACAAAAACAACAGCGCTTTTTTTTTTTTTTTTTTCCGGTTAGCTAAATCTTCTCATCAGCCGATCAGTTGATTCGATGGAACAGTCACAACGTCCTAACTAGCTCTTACTAGTATAGAAAAGGTCGTAACCGCCCTTAGTGCAAGCGAGCGAGCATGTAAGTTTTTTTGTTGTAAAAGACTTGGCACGGTGAGACAGCAACCTGAGTCACCTGACCAAGTAGTTGAGAGTCTACCTAGCTTTCTGTATCTTTTGCATATGCTGAGTTATCAACAGATATACTCAGATATCAGTTTGTTTTTGCCACCGCTGCGATGCCGACGCGATACCATCATTTTTATGACGTTTTACGGAATCGAACCGATACGGTGTATTAATTTTAAAACGATTCTTCAGCAACTACGGCGCGGGCACTGCTAATGCTTTACCGCACATTGCCCACCATTCCGCTTGTTCTCCGCCGCACTAAATCCTTTACATTGGGATACTGATCTCATTTCTTCAGTTTGTCATTCCCAGTACCGATATTTTATTCCCAAAACCGATAAGACTTATACAGTTAACCACCAGGAGATTAATGCAGTGGCTACGCTCAGCTTGTCCGTTTAAATTGGTTGGGAGTGTTCAAGCCCGTTTAAGAACCCCAAAACCGGCCATCGTCAGTTCAGATCAATCGTTTTCACGACTGAAATCTGAAAGCAACCGCTTGCGAGGACAAAACGATGAATTACTTACTGGAGATATTTTTAAATGCATCCGCAATTTAGAGCCTTTTTTTGCTGCGAATGCATCTGCACAACGATTTACAAAAACGCTAGATGCGGAACCGCACTGGTTCTGAAACACACCGGAGGAGATTTCAAATTTCAGTGTCAATAATTTTCAACTAATTTGCTGCGAAACGATTTATTCTTTCAGTACTTCATTCAGTGCTTGAGTGGCAATAATCCAGGAAGAAAGTTTATCAAATTTTCTGTTTCCGTGAAAAGTGACTATCAAATGCGACGCTTGTAAAACAACACGCCGAAATTCACCATCATGAATACCGCTTTCTGTAATAATAAAAACCCATGGCATGGATCTCTATTATTTTTCCCGTAAAGAAACAGAAATGTTTATCAATTAGGTTTATCTTATTATTTTTCAAATTAAAATGAGCTCATGATAGAAGTCGAAAACTAATGGTGTAGCTAAAATAAGAAACTTTGATCATTTCTCAAAAAATTCGCAATTTATTTACAAGATTCAAATTTGAACTTCGATAGAGTTATCTTTTAAATTCTGTTTAATCTTTTTTTTAAAACAAAGGCTGAAAGAAAGCAAAAGAAAAAAAAATCGTTCCGTTCTACTTGCTGCTACTCGCTTCGCTGCGCTTGCGCTCTCTCGCCGCAGCTCAGAGTCGCTTCGGCTCCGCTTTCGATTTCCTTAGAAACAGTTACTCGCTACTGTACAGTATAATCACGAAAAGTGAACGTTTAAATTGAACCGTTAACAAAACCATTTCCGAAGCAAAAGATATAATAATGATTAAATAATTCTTTGGTTT